ATACGTGTATATATTTTTAAGTGAAGAAAAGATAAACGTGTTTGGATAGGTGTAGCTAGAGCCTCATGTTCTTTCAACTGTATTCAAGTGTAATGCGCATATATGTTGGGTTAGATGTTGTTATAATTAATTAAAAAAAAGTTTTTGTAAAGACAAAATAGGCTAAAATATATAGGAGGGTTACGACTACATTCTAATTGAAGTATATATGTTCCATTACCAAGAATTGAAACTATATGATATTGTAAATGCATTTTTATTTATTGCATGTTCCAAGTACTACTCTTAACTGAGCACACCTAAAGAAGAATAATGTAGTTCAACTACATTTGTTGTTACGTACACTCTTCAACTTTGTATGCAATAGCTACTTTATTCCTGAATATATTATTAAGAGGATGAGAGGAAAACAACAACAAAATTTAAGAGTTGGTGTTGACATGTTGTTTGTCGGTTGTCTTAAACTCCTCCTAATCATTGCACCAAAATTCCGAAGTTACTGTGAGAGTTGAAGATTATATTGTAACAGGCCTCCATAAGTTGAGCGTCCTTTTAATAGGCCGAAATCTTGCTTTAAATTCATGGCCAGTGGGATTTGAATATGGGTTGCTCTGATATCATTTTAATTTAAGTCTATTTAACCATTGTACCAAAACTATGAGACTATAGTGAGGGTTGAGGATTATAATTTTATAGTAAGTCAAACATGTTGTGGCTTATATGTAATAACTCATTTGTGAAATTTGGACATTGAGTACAAATCTCAATTGGATTAGGTAAAACATTTGTGCATTCAGTTGATTTTGAATCCTAACGACCTGTTTGGCAACTTAGTAATGAATTTGGTCTAGTTTAAGAGTATCTTGTGTTTGAGAAAAATGGGAACAACTTTGCCCCAATTTTTCTCAGTCAATTTTTTCTCTAAAACCATGCAAAAATCGGTCCACCCTCCACCCCAGAATAGTCCTCGACTAATCAGGCCAGGCTAATTTTATATCGGGCTGCTAGAGCCTAATCCAAATTCTGCTATAATTTTATAAGTAGATATGTGATTTTAGGAATGAGCGCAAATTCTTTTGTTTTAGCAACTGTGACACATTCACATTTTAACAATATATTCACTTCAACAAATAAATTGCAAATACTAATGCTTAATTTAACACCGAATTCAGATTACATGCATATAAATTTTATTCATATCCATTCCGACAATCCTATACGTTGTGTGAATTAAGAAATGTTTCTTTGCAATAACAACAACAACAAACCTTCATCCATTTCTAAAAAAAAAAAAGGACCTCCGTTCAAAATTTTAAGATCAACTATATGAATTCTATTTTTCTGCATGCTTTATAGATTAAACATTATACATTCTTTAATCCCTTATATTTCATGAGAATCTCGGCCAGACAGGCCGTTCTTAAAACCAGCTGGGCTAAAAACTCTGCTCTCTTTGTAGCTAGTGGATCTCCCACCCACAAGCCGTTTGGGCCGTTGTGGGCTAATGGGCTCAACAGGCCAATCCTTCGGCTGCACTTGCATCGCCGCCTTCGGCCGAAACCTCCCCCTCCACGACGCCCTTAAACGGCATCGGAGCTCTTTATCACGGAGGCACAGCAGCTCTCCTCAACTCTGACGCCTGCAAGAAGTATGCATTCACCGCTCAGCAAGTGAAGGATGCGTTGTCGGACGCGATTGTTTCGGAGAAGGCCGCGATGGCCCAGGCTCAGTCGTTTAAATGGGCCAATGAAGGCGGTGTTAAGCACTAGGCAGTGGATTGGATTGATTCTTTGATTTGTTATGTTGTGCTGTATTATTTACCTATTGTTTATGTGTGGTTGATTATTAATTTTATTTAATCCCTGGAAGAGTGTAACTATCTTTGTAGCATAAATAATATGTATTTGTTTGTATGAAATTCGAAGTGTGAGACTACGAAGAAAATAATTTATGACAGCAATATTATTTTTGGAGTAAAAATGTAAAGCCGGATAATGTTCCATCATACTCTTGGGTTTCAGTTCGACTCTCCTGAAGAGCATCTTTAGGAATTTAATTTTCTAGAATATCCGAGATCGTATGTTGAGAGTGTCCCATAGTCACGCTTGAGGGTTTGATACCCATAGTCCGAACGATCGTTTAAAAGCTCCTTTGTCAAACCGAAAAAAAACATACTCTTGGATGGGTCTATTGCTAGGCCTGTCCAATTGGGCTTGAGACCCGGGAAGGTGAGCACTAGATTACGATAATAAAATTGAGCTTGAGGCTCAACGCAGACTGAGTTGGAGGTTCACTTTTAAAGCGACATGACCGAAGGTTCGTGATGAGGAAAATTGAGTTTGACGCTCCGCCTGAGTATTGAACGGTGAGGTTCACGGCTTAGTAACGACGCGAGGTTTGTTAAAATTGAGGCTTGACGCTCACAGCTGCAGTTGAACGCGAAGGTTCACCTTAGTTAAGCGAACAGCGAGGGTTCGTTGAAATTGAGCTTAGACGCTCCACCAGCTGAGTTGACGTGAAAGGTTACGGACTTTAGAACGAACGCGAGGTTCGTTGAGGGCGCGAAGCTTCGGTTAAAATTGAGGGACGAACGCAGAGGTTCGTTTGAAAGGCTTACTCGCTTCGCCAAAATTTGAGGGTAGACTACCTCTTAATGTTCGCAGGCAGCGTTTCATGCACGCACGAACCTGTAGGGGGTTTCAAAATTGAAACCGCCGCGACAAACCGCAAAAAACGCTTTGATTTTATTTTCAAACAGATTCAGAATTGGAAAAATTGAAGAAAAAATCAAAGAAAAATCCAAAAATTGCTAAAAGTTAGCGTTCACGCAGCCGGTGATTTTTTCAGTCACTGTTCACGAGGTATTGGTAGCTGATACGTGAAAAGAGAATGAGACATATAGAGGAGTCAAGATTCGGAATAAAACTTTGCGTGGATTTCCAAAAAAATTTCGGTTACTGTTCATCAGAACATTACTGTTCATAACGACATATAAAAACGAGAATAAAAAACTAAATTTTAACGCAGAGATTTAAGATCAAAAACCCAATAAAACTTAAATCGCCTAAGAATTAATCAAGGTGGCTTCTGATAGACCACTTGTTAGATTCTATAACCAAAACTTGAGGATCTTAAAACGCAATATAAGCCATGATTAAATTCAACGAGGATTAACAAGAATGCAAAAGAGCGGAAGCTTATACGCTGAATGCCATGGATGAACCTTGATATGGGGTTTTGGAATCTTCTAAACCTAGGGTTTCTGCTAATAACCGAATTTCTCTAGCTAGATGGGGGTGTAGAGAATTAGAAAGAATGTAACCCTCTAGTTAGGGACCATAACGCCTTATTTAATAGATGTTGTACTTTTGTAATTTAGCCCCTTCAATAAATTACAATTACAACCTGGTATCTGCACATATAACGGCCCATGACTTATTTTAAATACCGAAATTAAACCCAACTTAATTGATAGCCCTTTAGTGGTTTATCCTGAAAGATAGCAATACACATTGATTAATGCAATATGTGCACCAGCAAATAGATTTATTTAGATTAAAATTGCCTAACAAGACTACTATCAATCTCAATAATTTAAGGAGGCTTCGAATATTAATAAGATTTAAGGGACTAATTTCAATGAGCAACAAACATATGTGCTTCTTCTGTTGGTAAGAATGATAATTATAAGATTTTTAAGAAGCGTTTTTTTTTATACAAGATAGAATTATTTTCTCACATTTAAAGTAAAGAATATTTCTAGATAAAAACTAGGTCTTATATAATGTTCTTTTTTTAATAAAACAAAATACGATAAATGATGGCATGGTTGTAAAGTATATAGCTCCCCCGGGAATCAAGTACCCTGCGGGTCGGTCGGTTATTAACGTCCATCTATCCGTTATTCCTAATCCGAAGCGGAGTCACGCTGCTCATTCTCATGGGAGCGGGTGCACTGAGTTAAGGTGTGTAAAATGGTCGCGGATTTAGTCTAGACCGCCGTGTAACCGTTATCCGTTTAGAAAGCGGATATGGTAGGGAAAATTGAAAGCTAGTAGGATATGGTTCTGATTACGGTTAATGGTTTAGATTTTTTTTATCCTGGATACAGTTTGCGATTGGTTATTGCGTCGGAAAGACGCGTAATGATGGTTCGCGGATATCCGAATATTTGAAATGGCTAATATAATTTTGTATGGGTGGGTCTATAACATATACTCATTTATCCCAACCCGACCCATATCATGCTTCAAAAAGCCGCTAAGGGGGTGTTAGTCAATTGGTAACATTTTCATGGCAAAATGGGATAATTGTTAAAGTGAAATAATTTTTCGTCGATGAGCAGTGGATATTTAGTGGGAGTAAATATGACATTTTGTAAAGCGGGATATTTTGATAAAATAATGTCGGATAATTTTTTATAATCATGAATATATATTATGCATTTTGATAGATATAAATACCTGATTTATGTATTTTAAACTTTAAGTCTATTATTGATTGTCATAATTGCTTAGCCAGAATATTTTTTACTATTGAAATAACTTTGGTTACACTATAGATATTGAATAATTAATTATTATATGATGGTGCTAATGATGGTGATAGCATAATAGGAAAGAAGCAAAGAAAGAAAAAGAAATATAAAAATTAAAAAATAACAAAATAAATAGGAGGTTCTGGTTTTTAGGCCACCTAGTTCAAAACTAAAACTTGGAATAACTTGAGAGACTAGAAGTCTCATTTTTTATATAGAAAAATAAAAAGGTGGGATAATTTTGTACATTATCCCCATCTAAGTTTTGTTTCGAGTTCTACTTGAGCTAACACTGTAAATTTTATTCTAGTTTTAGTTCTATGTGATCGTAATACCTTAAATATTTATTACAGAAATTATCAGCAGTTCTAATTTAAGTTATAGATGACTAACGCCTCCCGAAGGGGGTTTATTGTTGGTAGTAATTTTGGGGTAAGTGTGATAATTTTTGGGACTTTACTTTATGGAGGTTATTCATTGGAACAATGAGATTGGAATTTTCGGCATTGAAATTGTTATTCATTGGACAAGGTGAGATTTGGGATAATTGTCCCGGCTCCACTTTCTCGAAATTATCCCACTTAAATACAGAAGCCTTTTTATCCCATAACCTCCAAAAATTAATCTCATTCTAACTTTGGACAATTATGAAGAAAGTGGGATAATTTTGAAACCACTAATTTATAAATATCTAATATCATGTTAATTATAATGTAATATATAATATTCTTAATGTATATTATATTATAAAATTCTACTTATAACGTAAGATAATAAAATATTATATATAATTATCTGAATATAACATATTTATATCATTATTACATATTAGTTAATAATTATTTTATATATTATAATATTAATATTATAGGTATTATATATTACTTATCATTATTTAATATATATTTATTAGTTAGATAATCATCATTATTATAGTTTTTTATAAGATGATAAAATATTGTAATTATAATAACATGTGAGTTATATATTTAGATATAATAATATTATTATATTATAAATATGATTTATTAATATAATAATTTACTATTTTGCTATTATACTTTATTATATTAATTAATAGTGTTAAATATATTGTCAATATTGGTGATAGTTATAATACTTAAAAATATTTTATATTATAATAAAAATTGGTAATAATGCTACTACAATGTTAAAAGTATTGATATATTGGTTGGCCTTCTTGTTTTGAATGATGATTTCACGAAACAATTTACATCTAATATGTGTCTAGTGTTTGTGTTTTTTGTATTTATTGTAGACAAACAATATGTTGGAGGAATGGATGGATTGGCGTCATATGCGATCATATCAATGGAAGGATTGGCGAATAGTGGTGAAGCCATATGTAATCGAAGTTGGAAAATGCCAAGTTTCTAGCTTCAGTCCATAATGTGTACCAGATCAAGCTTATTGAAGAATCAAGATAAGCTTGTGGTAAGCATTAGTTTAGGTATATATATGTGTGTTAGTACTTTAAGCTCAATCATTATATACACACACATTATAAATTGGTTTTCCTTATATATATATATATATATATAATATATATATATATATATATATATATATATAATATATATATATATATATATATATATATATATATATATATATATATATATATATATATATATATATATAATATATATAATTTTTATTACTATATATATATGATATATATGGGTCATGTGAATCTGCGGTGACTCCGTAGGCTGTCATCTGAGGATGCGCGATCTGGGCCGTTTATTCAAAACCCCTCAGAGAGATCTGAGCCCTTCGTTGAAAATCCCATCCCCCCAAAATCCCTACCCCTCTCTCATCTCTCCCGCCCAGATCGCGCCATCACCTCCCGCCTCCTCCTCTCCAGCGCCCGAAATCGCCGCCGGAGCTCGCCGCCCCCGATCAGCGTCGCCGCCGGCTCAAGATCGCGCATTCGGTCGCCATCACCGACCTCCTCCCCCTCACCACCGCCCGAAAGCGCCGGCGCCCAAGCTCGGCCTGTGTCTCGACGTCCCCGATCAGCGTCGCCGCCGTCCCCTTGCCCTAGCCATCACCTCCCCTCCTCCTCTCCAGCGCCCGAGATCACCGCAGCTGAGCGTCGCCGCCGGGTCATCGCCGTCTACTCCTCCTCGCCATCGAGCTCAGCCCTCGTCATCAGCCACGCCTCCGACGGCATTCGAGCTCAGCCCTCAGGTTCATCGCCGCCTCCGGAGATCGATCAAGCCCTCGACGTCATCCTCGCCATCACCTCCCCCCTCCTCTCCACCTCACGAAATCGCCGCAGCCTGCGCTTGCCGTCCCCGCTCAGTGTTGCCGCCGGCTCATCGCACTTCGCCGCTGTCGAGCTCGCCTCCACCGAGGTAAGGCATCAGGTCTAAATTAACGTGTTAGTTCTAACTGAAATGCATGTTAGCTAGCTCTAAATTAACGTGTTAGTTTTAACTGAAATGCATGTTAATGCTACCGGGATGCATGTTAGCTCTAATGGAGATGATGTTAGTTCTATTACGAGGCATGTTAGTTCTAGTTGGCGTTCCTGTTAGATCTAGTGGATTTCATGATGGTTCTATCTTCCCTCATGCATATTCCTTGGATCTATCTTCTTCCTTTTAATTTCAGCTCATACATTACTTGGTTTGCAGCACTCACTCTATGGCTACGAGCCAGATAATTTAGAGCTATTTTTGCCATGTATTGTTAAATTGGATATAAACTTTAAATTTGGTTTAAACTATCGTAATAAAATTGTTTAGTGAAATTGAAAGATCAACTTGATGACGCTTTTTGAGCGATTTTGAACTTCTTATATGTGATAATTTGATAGCTTGTATAGACACTCCAACAATTCTCTCACGTGAGGCAACAATGGAAGAAGATAAAGGCCAGGACCATGATCTACTATCTACAACATGGCTTCCCCCTCAGGTGATAATATCTTATTGTTTATAGTGTACTACTAACTAATGACATATACCAAAATAGTTGTCTTTTAGCATGAGTTTTGTTTCTCTATTTTTATAGGCATCCGAGCATGAGGAGAATGGTGATGAGCTTATGGGCGTTGAAAATGGTGAAGATAATTTAAACAGCGTTGATCCATATATCGGAATGGAGTTCTCTACTCATGAGGAAGCTTATAATTTCTACAATGCATACGCCAGACTTAAGGGATTTGGTGTTCGCAAGGGTCACACAGCTTGGTCGAGAAAGAAAGATGCAATCCTATCTAGAATATTTGTATGTGACAAAGAAGGCTTTAAATCTTTAAAAGATAAAAGAGAAGATGGTCGGAATGTAATTCGAAAGTTCGATACAAGATGTGGATGCAACGCAAGGATGGTTATTGGACTTGATAGAAGCACTGAAAAATGGGTGGTCCGAAAGTTAAACAGTAAGCATAATGGTCATCCATTAACCACCCCAACTCGGGTAAAGAAGCACTACTCACATCGGACACTTCATCGAGCTCAATCGACAAAAAGGTTGATAGATACTCTTGACAATCAAGGTTTATGGCCTTCTGCCATTTGTAAGGTTGTAGACGTTGCTCATGGCAATGAACAAGGCTCTCTCACTCAACAAGAATGCCAAGCACAACTTAGACTTAAACGAAGAAACAACGTCGGCCATGAGTGCGTGAACATAGTTCGTCAATTTCAAGAGAAAAAGGTATCTGATCCTCAATTTTACTTCGCACTTGATTTAGAAAATGATGGGACGATGAGAAGTGTTTTTTGGATGGATGGTAGGTCGAGGACTTCTTACTTGCAATTTGGAGATGTTGTTTGCTTTGATGTTACATATAGAACGAACAATTTAAAATTGCCGTTTGCACCATTTACGGGCGTTAACCATCATCGACAGTCTACTCTATTTGGGTGTGCGTTACTGGCCGATGAAACGGAGGAGACGTTTATATGGTTATTTAGCCAATGGTTAAAATGTATGTCGGGTATAGCACCAGTAACAATCATCACTGATCAAGATAAAGCTATGTGTGGTGCTATTCACAAAGTTTTTCCTAAAACTCGCCATCGCTTTTGTTCTTGGCACCTTCGTAGGAATGCCTTACAAAATCTTCAATCAATGCATAATGATTATGGTGAGGATGTTGGTGTAAAGTATAACAAATGGTATTGGAGTAAATCGGAAGAAAAATTTGAAAAGCGTTGGGAAGAAATGAGGGACAAATATGGTGCAGATAAAAGGAGTTGGTTAGTAAATTTATACAATCATCGAGATCATTGGGCTCCAGTGTATCTTAAAGACACTTTTACTGCAGGAATGACATCTACTCAGCGGAGTGAGGGAATTAATGCTTTTTTTGATCATTTTGTGAATGTAAATACCGAGTTACATGATTTTGTTAAGCAGTATGATAATGCTGTCAGAGCTCGCCGAGCCGCTGAACTTGAGCAAGATTTTAAGTCCACAAACTCAGTTCCTACATTGATAATTGAACATCCCATTGAAAAACAAGCTCGGGAGAATTATACGAAGAATCTGTTTACTATCTTTCAGAAAGAACTCAAGGATAGTTACTCCATGCTTCATGAAAAGTTGTCGAAGGACGGCGCAAGTGCTACTTATGCCGTTTGGAATATAGATAGCGAGGCTGAAAGCAAGAAGATAGTAAAGCATCATGTTGTTTTCGATACATCCAAAGAAAAAAGAATTAAGTGCTCTTGTGCGAGATTTGAGATGGAAGGTATATTATGCAAACATAGCTTGCACATTTTAGTAAAGAAGCAAGTATTAGAAATTCCATCAAGATATATCATGCAACGATGGACAATTAAAGCAAGACATGTTGGTTGCGGAGTTGTTAGAAATTGCATTACAAATAGTGAAGACCAACTATCTATCATTAAACATTGGGCCCTTAGGAGTAGATGTAACAAGGCACTAGAAGATACATTGACTTCAAGTACACTTCATGATAAGTTTAGTGCTTTTTTAGACTCATTTTTTGAAGAAGTTGAGAATTCCAAGATTGAGAAGGAACATAACGACAATGGAAATGAGAGCAATGCCAGCAATAAGATGCCTACTTCATCCATACCCATCTCTATAGAGGAAGCAACTCAAATCACTATTCGTGATCCAGATAAGCCTGTTGCCACGAAGGGACGACCAGCACATGCTACTAGAATTAAGTCGGGAGTGGAGATAGCACAAGAAAAGAGTATAAAAAACAAAGATTTTGTGGGTTTTGTAAGGGAAAAGGACATTATATAACGAGTTGTCCTTTAGCTAAGGTATTATACTTAATCTTGATTTAATATTTTTTTAATGTCTTTGCATTTGTCATGATAAAGTTGTAATTTTTTTTGTAGAACAAAAATGTTGCTGGTGGAGGTCGAGAAAGTTAACGGCATCGCCAAAACAAAGTTTACGGAGGGCCAAAACAAAGCATGTGTTTCGGTTGAATGTTCACAATTTGATTTATTCACTTTTCCCTTAAGATTTATGTATGTATGGATGATAATGTGGTTGTATGGATTAATCATGTATGGATGATAATTTGAATTAATTTTTTCCCCCAGAACAATGAGGAACAAAACAGTATTAAGTGGGTACAAAACGAGCAATTAGTGGGTACTAAACTTGAATAAGTGGGTACAAAAATAAAATCATGGCATTATTGGGTACAAAACTTTCTTAAGTGGGTACAAAGCTTGATTAAGTGGGTACAATATTTGAATCCAGAGCAAAGAGGTACAAAAGGTTGCAAAGAGGTACAAAAGGGTGTCTAAGTAGGTACAAAACGTGTATAATAAATGGATACAAAACTTGAATAAGTGTGTACAAAATTTGCAGCAGAATAATGAGGTACAAAACATGGTTAAGTGGGTACAAAACTTGAATAAATGGGTACCAAACTTGATTAAGTGGGTACAAAACTTGATTAAATGTGTACAAAGTGGGTACAAAACTTGATTAGGTGGGTACAAAAGTTTTTACAAGCAGGTACAATGCTTGATTAATTGGGTACAAAACGTGTATAAATGGGTACAAAACGGTGCCTAAATAGGTACAAAACGTGTATAAATGGGTACAAAACTTGAATAAGTGTGTACAAAATTTGATTCCAGTATATTAAGGTACAAAACATGGTTAAGTGGGTACAAAACTTGAATAAATGGGTACCAAACTTGATTAAGTGGGTACAAAACTTGATTAAGTGGGTACAAAAGTTTTTACAAGTAGGTACAACTGTACAAGGCTTGATTAATTGGGTATAAAACGTGTATAAATGGGTACAAAACGGTGCCTAAATAGGTACAAAACGTGTATAAATGGGTACAAAACTTGAATAAGTGTGTACAAAATTTGATTCCAGTATATTGAGGTACAAACATGGTTAAGTGGGTACCAAACTTGATTAAGTGGGTACCAAACTTGATTAAGTGGGTACCAAACTTGATTAAGTGGGTATAAAAGTTTTTACAGTGGGTACCAAACTTGATTAAGTGGGTACCAAACTTGATTAAGTGGGTACCAAACTTGATTAAGTGGGTACCAAACTTGATTAAGTGGGTACCAAACTTGATTAAGTGGGTACCAAACTTGATTAAGTGGGTACCAAACTTGATTAAGTGGGTATAAAAGTTTTTACAAGTAGGTACAAGACTTGATTAAGTGGGTACAATATTTAACAACGTAATATAACTAACTCTATATGTGATAGAACTAACAAGAGGACAGCTAGAACTAACAAGGAGTGAGCTAGGGATATCATGACATAACAGAACAAACACTTGGGCTAGAAATAACGCCAGCACGAAGTAGAACTAACAGGAGATGGGCTTGAACTAACAGGAGGGCATCTAGAACTAACTAGGAGTGAGCTAGGGATAACATGGCCATCTCGAGTACAAACACTTGTGCTAAAAATAACGTGGGCACGAAGTAGAACTAACTCGAGATAGGCTTGAACTAACAGGAAGACGTATAGA